AACACATCTCAACAAATGGTGGTTGCCAGAGCAGGTGCAATCCCAAGGAGTGAGGTACCCGCTGAGCAAGCAGAGTACGGTACTAGGGGGACATGATGCCATAATATAGCCATGTGCAAGATGAAATAGCAGCCGACTTGTCCCCTAAAAGTAGTATAACAGAATTGATATCTCTGAGAAGATGGGTTACTTGACCCTATATATATATAAAGAGGTTGGTTCAACGAACAGAGGTATGAATAGAACACCTTCAGACATATACCCCTGGTTATCTCTTCTCACAATTCCTGTAGGCAGTGTCAGAATGCTCTCCAGCTGACAACACCGGCCGGGCAGCAGCACTAATGGTGTTTGGGTTCCTGCAGGGATTTCAAGCTTGGGAGGTGTCATCCTACTTTCTTCACAATTCGAGGATTTTTCCCTCCTCACACACCAACTTTCCACTAATTTGCAATTCCCCTATGATACGAATATAGAAAATTTTCGAAAATGCATTGTTAGATTCTAAATTAAAAAAAAAAAAAATCTATCTCTCTATAAGTACTTTCAGATGTTTCATGATTTGATAAAATGCAAAACATAACCACATTTGTATAACTAGATGGGAGACACTCATTATGTGAGTGCACGACAAACAAATTATCGGCCACAATTTGCTTGTAATGGCTTATAATAATTTATATATATATATATATATATATTTTATTTAGGAATGTGGATGCTAAGATATTCATAAGCTCCATGGAAGTTGAACTATGTGAGGTGAAATTAAAAATTAAAAAAAAAAATTATGTGAGGTGAAAACAAGATCTCAGTTCTGACATTGTTGTCACTTTTGAATCAACCAAACAGAAGCCTCCTTGGAGCAAAACGGCCCTCTTCTATCACCTCCCTGCACCTAATTCTCCTATTCCCATTCACATTTATTTATTTAATTTGTTTACTTTGACTGCAACTGATGGAAAAGATCATTGTAATTCATTTTTTCCCAGTTTCACTAATTTGAGTTCTTGATCCTTTATAATCAGTCTGCACTAGTTTTTCAGTTTTTCCTTAATGTCAAAAAGTTTGTAAGCGAAAATGTCTATTTTCTTACCTCATTGTTTTTTCTTTTTGGTTTTCTGGTAGAAGGGAAAGGTCGATCGAAAGTTGGTGGCAGGTTTTTTCTATCTCAGAATCCTTCTCAACATTTGAGTTCTCTGTTGTCTTTGGACAAAGCTTCAAGGTTTGTTTCACAAATTATTTTCTTTGTCTCCTAGACCACAAAATAGGGGTATAAAACCTTTATTTTATTTTTTCATTTTCTCTTGAAGAAAATTCTTAGAAAGAGCACTGAGATTTTCTATGCTAAATTTATAATTTTTTTTAAGAGTGTAAATTTGAACTAGATGTAGAGATTCTCAATATCTCACAACTTGGGCTACAAAAATCTGAAAGAAAAAGAAAAATTAAAAAACTAATTTGGTTCTTGGTCTAGTTTTCAATTCCATAATGTGAGAATTATTTTTGGATAGTTTTATTTTAGACATATCTAAAATTGAACTAACTTGACCTATATGCACGTCTATAGATATTTGGGTTGTTTTTAGATTTTAAAGTTATGTTAGATTTGCGAAGGAAAAATTCAACAAGTGAACTACATATTAAAGCTAAGCAAGTCAAAATAGTACACAAACTCCAATCAATATATTTACTTGTCCAAACAGATGGCATTGCATGTGCTAATGCAAAAGGGGGCTTGGGTCAAGCGGCTGACATAAGCAGATATGGATATCAGGTAAATACTTAAATAGAAAGTTTTATTTATGAGTACAAGTAGATGTATACAATTCATGAAAAGATTTCAAAATATAGTTTATATTGGTATTTTGTCATTGCATTAGCGAGTAGTTTACAAATTAGTTTTTTTCAAAAGTTGAAGGATATAATATCACGGAATAAAAAAATGCACCACTCTTCTGGTAGCATATTATGATGGATTGTAAAAGTATATATATTACCAAAAGAACCACACACCCACCGCTTGAAGCCCTGGTTGCTATGATGTAATGCATGCATATATGCATCGTTAGGCACCATATTTTCATGTGGGCCTTGCATATCAAAGGTGACTGGGTCTTCTTCAACTTTACGCATGAACAATAGGATTGCTATTTTGGCCAAGATTAAAAACACTTTGATTTCAAGCGTAATTGTGACCCCACAATGATTTGTAATAAAAACGTTAATGACTTTGCTCACCACAAAATTTGTAACTTTTAATGTTCATACATTTCCACAATAGTTTATAACTAAGATTTTTCTTATGGTATGCTCCTCGATAATTACACCACGATAATTCGTAACTAACATGAAAAAAATTCCTAACTTTTGTTATGAGAGGAGGGCATATATAGTAGTCCCACTTTACAAACACAGTGGCTCCTATGATTTTTCACGAGTTATTTTAGAATCGAGATTCGAGACTCTCGATGGAAATGTGCGAAAAGCATTCCATTTAACTTCGTAAAAATGTAGCAACTAACAAAAAAAACAGTGTGCATGGAAAACCTAGGCTTTCAAACTGTAATTGTAATTTGGCAATTCTAACAAATTGGTCTAAATATGACAAGGATTTGCAAATTAGGAACCATTTTCTAAATTTAGAACCTTGGCGACCACTGCCCATCCACTTCCTGTAGTTCGTTATCGGCTTTGGATTAACAGATGTTATCAAATCCTCGAATTTTCTCTTCAAGCTTCAGCAGAACTGTTTACAGCATAACTACTCCTACATATGCCAAATTTTGTAGTTGGTTTATTATATTTCTTAAAAGTGGCTGAAGCATTTTTTCATGTGTACTTCAGCTTGAGTGCCATATTCATATATAAAATTTGGCCAAAATGTGGCAACTTCATGATGAATTTTAAACCCTAGGCATACATTTCCCTTTCATAGATAAATTTTAATTATTTCTTCTTCTTTCGTAGATGTTTTGTGGGGTTTAGATGTTGAATGGTTCCAAACTCACTTATGGATCTTACACTTGTTTCTCTTTCTAAACATCAGCCTATGTGAAATATTTTATAAATGATGTCACATGATGTCATAGCAAAAAATTCAAGAAGATAAATGCTTGTTCATTGTTACTGATATCTATTTGTAGCAATATCACCATTTTGTCAATGATTCAAGACTAATTTTCTAACCTGTCCCCCCCCAAAAAAAAAAGAGGACTTATTTTCCATTATTTTGAGGTAAACATGAAGTCAATTTGCTCATATTAGCATTATTTCTCTCTTGATTTTGTCCGCTTATAAATTTATAGTCAAATTTCAAATTTCTTTATAACAACCTTCAAAATTGATATTGTGGTTTTCTTCAGGATTTTTTCCCTTTTAACTACAATCCCTCACAACTTCAATATTTGCAGGAACTGACCACACCATGGAATTCATATATTCATTATTTAGTAAATGGTTGGGACATTACATAAACCTTAATCCAAACTTGAAAAATCTCAAAAGAAAGATAAAGGATTTGAGCACTAAAGTCGATGATGTAGAAACAGAACTGAGAGGTGCAGAGCATCATCCAGCCAAAAGACCAAGGAAAGTGGCTCAACATTGGTGTAAAAATGCACAAGAGACGATAGAATCCATGCAAACACTTAAGGAAGAAGCAGATGGACTTGGACAATGGATGATTGTCGCACGCACACTGTTGGGAAAGCACGTCGAGGAGAAAATTCAAGAGGTGGTAGAACTGCAAGAACAGCATAATTTTCCTCGTGGCGTGCTGATTGATGTTCCTCCAACTTCTGAATAGTTCATACCAACAACAAGATTTTTTTGTGGAAGTGAAACCATAACTGCAAGGAATAAGGGGAAATACTTGATGGATGAGGAGGTTAGAAGGATTAACACTACTAGAAAATGAGTATTTGCATTGGAAATATTTGTGATGGTGCAAATATCGTTGCAAAACGTTGACCTTTTTGTCATTGTGAAAAATATTATTAGCGACCAAAATATTTGTAATGACAACGTTGTCGTAAAAAGTGAGTGTTTGCTATGGCATTACCTTGCTAATGCAGAAGTGTCTACAATTTTTTGTGACAGCATGTTCCATCATCCAAAAAAGTAAGCGACTATATCATATATGCGACAATTAGAGGTTTCCATCACAAATACTAAACTTTAATGGCAGCGTTGTTGTCGTAGCAAAATAACTCGATTGTAATACGACAATGTTTTGGCTCTCTATTTTGTTTCCCTTGACTTTCCCTAAATTTTTTCTTCTTTCTCTCTCTCAGCTGTCTCACGCATTCATTATCTCACTTTTGTAGCTCTCCAATGGTAACCACCAATGTTGGCAACCACCTACATCAGTAACTAATCGGTATCAACAACCACTACCTTTGAACACCTCCAAAGTCGCCACCACCACTGTGCGCCCATGCCCAACTTCACTAGTAAGTCATCTGTGTGTGTGTGTGTGTGTGTGTGTGTGTGTAATTTTAGATCTGGATATTATGTTGAATTCTTGTTGTTGATGGTTTACGATGGTGGTAGACGGGGGATGATGGTGGCATGTATGGATGTGGGAGGGGAAAAAGGGTGGTGGTGGAAAGGGTGGGGAGGCGATGAAGGGGAAAGGGAGGGGGATGATGGTGGTAGAGGGTTGGAGAAGAGTGATGAGGGTGGCGAATATGGGTTTGGGAGAGGGCGGAAGGCATTAGATAGGTTTGGGGTGGAGGGGTGAGGAGGACTGTCGCGGTAGCATTCACATATGTGCAAAACATATTTTATAATCGTGTTCGTGATATGCGTGTGAGTGTATACCAATCTTTTTATAACTTTCATATGAATTTTACCTTGGTTCCTCACATTCTAATTATAACAATTAAGTCCTCAAACTGCAACTCTTGTTTCAATGTGATTATCTCATCACTCTTCATTAAAAATTTGAAACATAAATGACCAAAGTGGAATTTGAGTTGAAGTTGAAAGGTGAAAAATGTAATTTACGCTATAATTTCTATCTTCCAAAAAATGTGCAGTGTCTTCCACACAAAATTTTGACACTGAGTGATGGGTGGACCACATTGAAACATGAGGTCAAGTTTGACAACTTAATTGTTGTAATTAGAAGGTAGTATACCAAAGTTAAATTTTGGTGATAGTTGGAGGTTGAAAGAGTAATTTACCCATTCTTTGGTACATTGAGGGCCATAGTGTAGGGATGAGGAGTATTTCTTTGACAAGACTTGAACCCTTAATCTCTTAGCGAGGTGTAAGGGTTTTAGTGATGGCGAACAAGTTAGTGGTTGTCGATACTGATCAGTTACTGATGTAAGTGGTTGCCAACATTGGCGGTTTTCATTGGAGAGCTACAAAAGTGAGATAATGAATGAGTGAGACAGCTGAGAGAGAGAAGAAAATATTTGGGGAAAAAATTTAGGGAAAGTCAGGGGAAACAAATAGAGAGCCTACAGTCGACTTTTTTTGCAACGACAACAATGCTGCCA